CGTCCATCTAGCGGTGAAAGTTGGAACTACAAAAATTTAAAAATGCGATTTCCTCGAATATTAGCGAACTTTGAGTACTTATGAGGCTCAGAAGGTGTTATGTGACCGCATTAGAAGTATAATAAAGCAATAAAAGTTTCCTGAAAGCTTTAATAAAGAAAATAAGAAAAATGTCATTTTATGGTGGACATTTGTGGCGCCATCTAGCGGCGAAACTGCGAACTAAACTGAAAAACCGTATATCCGAACACGCGTTTAGGGGCCAAATAAGGAACACGCGTTAAGGAAAAATATAAAAAGTAATATTTCGCAATTTGGACGGTGCAGTATACTTCTTTAGACATTTTCAAGCAGTTTTTGTTGAATAAGTTATTCATTTTTTTGCCTATTAAGCCCAGAAAGTCAATTTTTATTTGACCCCTTTGGTGCGTGTTTGGCCATACGTTTTTTCAGTTTAGTTCGCAGTTTCGCCGCTAGATGACGCCACAAATTTTCTCCATAAAATGACATTTTTTTTATTTTCTTTATTAAAGCTTTCAGGAAACTTCTATTGCTTTATTATGCTTCTAATGCGATCACATAACACTTTCTGAGCCTCAGAGGTACTCAAAGTTCGCTAATTTTCGAGAAACTCGCATTTTTATATTTTTGTAGTTCCAACTTTCACCGCTAGATGGACGCCAATTCTTTAGTCCATGAAATGGGCTATTTTTCTATTTTCTTTAATAATGGTCCTAGCGGGCTATAATTACATTCATTCGATTCCGTAGGCGACAAGGAACAATTTGAATATCTCAGAATTTCGGAAAAATTTCTAGTTTTCAAGAAAATCGAAATTTTTATTTTTCGTAGTTCCGCCGCTTGCCGCTAGATGGCGCCACCTGTACCGTTTTGGACCGAATTCAACAAAAATTGATTTTCTGGCTTTATTAGGCATCAAAATGCATCAAGCCCTAATAGAAATTTGTTTCTAAATGCCTCAGGAACCATACTACGTCGTCAAAGCGCCGAAATACTCATTTTTTTATTTTCCTTATATGCATGTTCGGACCCTCACTTTTTAGGATCAGTTTTTTAGGTGATTATTCGTTCGTGGCAAGTCCGATTTAAAATTTTTTTTTCTATGTCCATCTGGATGTACATACGCATGTGCGTGCAAAATTTGAAGAGAATTGGTTGAGTGGTGCAAAAGAAAAACGCAGACAAAGAAGTTGCAAAGCCAAGTATAAGAGCTTCTCTCGCCTTCGGCTCGCTCGCTCAATAAATTATTTATTGGGATAAATTAAAATATTTGGGGAATGGTAGACTCTCACTATATTGTCGGGCAAGTGAGCAGTACTCTTGCATGGTTTTGTATGTGTGGTCCCAATATTCCAGTGAATGAAGTTTTATGACAATTGCAAAAGCGATAATAAAATGTTATACTCTCACATATTTCCGTACGTTGTATTCTCACATGTAGTATTGACTACGCGTTATATTTTCACATGTAGTATTGACTACGCGTTGTATTTTCATATGTGATATTGTTTATGCGTTCTATCTTCACATGTGGTATTGTCTACACATCCTATTTTCTTGTGTGATATGGACAATATTGATTAATATTCGAAACTCACCAAAACGAAGTATGGGAAGAGAGCAGTGAAGTACACAACCTTTCCCGAGCTTTGAACACCTTTGCTCAGACAGAGGAAGACGATGACCCATGCTAACAGGAGGTTCACTGCCATCGAGGGTCGAATAGAACCAGTTTCCTCGATTCCGCTACTCATTCCCAACACGTGATTGCTGTATCAAACAGAATTTTTAGTCTTGTGATTGAAATTGGGAAATTGGAAAATTCGACAAGTGGAAAATTGGAAAATTGGTAAATTGGAAAAGTGGTAAATTGGAAAATTGGAAAATTGGGAAATGGGAAAATTTTGAAATTGGGAAATTAAGAAATTATGAAATTGGGAAATTAAGACATTAAGAAATTATGAAATTGGAAAATTAGAAAATTGGGAAAGTGGAAAATTGGGAAATTTGGAAATTGGGAAATGGGGAAATTAGGAAATTGAGAAATTGGAAAATTGGGAAATTGGGAAATTGGGAAATTGAGAAATTGAGAAATTATGAAATTGGAATTTTAGGAAATGGGGAAATTAGAAAATTGGGAAATTGGGAAATGGGGAAATTAGGAAATTGAGAAATTGGGAAATTGGGAAATTGAGAAATTGAGAAATTATGAAATTGGAATTTTAGGAAATGGGGAAATTAGAAAATTGGGAAAGTGGAAAATTGGAAAATTAGGAAACTGGGAAATTATGAAATTGTAAAATAGGGAAATTGGAAAATTGAGAAATTAGAATATTGGGAAATTAGAAAGTTATGCAAGAATTTAAGCGACTTGACAACCTACTTGAAATATTCTTCAGCTGGTGGTCTTCTAAGGGCACTGGTGATATTTTCGATGGTCAGACCCATGGAGGCCATCTGGGTAGAGTTCAAGCATTTTCTTTTGAAATAACTCATATTTTGAGATGCACACGCTTCGGCAGCTTCTGGCATGAAGCAGTCCTCGGTGCTCCATGGTGACTCACATTTGCTCCACGGTAATTTACCAACCCCTACGGCGATCATAACATACCTTTGACCAGATGTATCAGACCATTTTATACGTATTGCCAAATATGTACACACAGTAGCTCAATATCATCTAACGAGATTCAATGATAACCTTAATTACATTGAAACTACATTTTAAAATAAAAGGTTAAAGTACAACAGTCAGCTTTAAACATCAAATTAAAAAATATAAAATCCAAAGTAAAATTCATTTTAATAACAAACATTTGAATAATATTTTAATATAATCTTCTGATGTATGTAATCATTTTATACATATTGCCAAATATACACACAGTAACTTAATATCATCCAATAAAATTCAGTAGCAGCCTTAATTACATTTAAAATACATTTTAAAGTAAAATATGAAGAGTACAATTAATTGCAAACATCAAGTTAAAAAATAAAATCTAAAATACAGAATAAAAATCATTTCAATAAAAAACAGCTGAATATTTTAATACAATCTTCCAAGTTTAATTGCTTCAATATCAACAGCGAATTTGATTATTGTAATATTATCTGCGAACAAACATTCTGCATGAAAATTAAATGAACCCTCGAAACCTACGCAGCTCGCAAAATAATTAACCGTTGTACATAATTTTCTAATCGATAATGATTAACGTGAACAGTATTGTCCCAGTTAAAACGCATCAACCTAATCGTTCGATTCGAAAACACCAAGTATTATTTCTTCCACGTTAATGCTCTTCTTAACCCGAATTCTTTATTGCCCGCGATCGAACGTAAAGCTCGGGGTTACGTAACAGCACGATATTACTCGAGTGCGAGCTATAACCACGAATCTAAAGCCATTCTGTCGATGCGCAAAAATTGTGCTCGATAAAAAGAATCGGATGCTTGATCGTTCAAACGAAGTGGGTCATCGAGTTTGTCGCTACGTTTCTCTCGTGACAGAGTGAGACACAGTTGAGCACTTCATATGTCCCGGAATGACTTTTAATCTTTACATCGAACGAGCATGATTCTACGAGTTAGGTCTGATTGTACAGATTTTTAGAATTTCATTGCAAAATTTGTAACTTTTTTTTAGTGATGATTCGTTAGTAATCGATTCGACGATGCGTTAGGTTCTTTACGCATTGTGATTTCAATACGTTGTATTTTCTATGCGTTGTAATTCCTACATGTGTTTTGTACGCGTTGCGTTTTTGATGCGTTGTGTTTACGCACGTTGTGTTCTCTACGCGTTGAATTTCCCACGTGTTGTGTTTTCTATGCGTTGAGTTTCACACGCGTTGTGTTCTCTATGCGTTGAGTTTCCCACGCGTTGTGTTCTCTACGCGTTGAGTTTCCCACGCGTTGAATTTCCCACGCGTTGTGTTTTCTACGCGTTGAGTTTTCCACGCGTTGTGTTTTCTACGCGTTGAGTTCTCCACGCGTTGTGTTCTCTACGCGTTGAATTTCGCACGCGTTGTATTCCCTACGCGTTGAATTTTCCACGCGTTGTGTTCCCTACGCGTTGAATTTCCCACGCATTGTGTTCTCTACGCGTTGAGTTTCCCACGCGCTGTGTTCCCTACGCGTTGAGTTTCCCACGCGTTGTGTTCTCTATGCGTTGAGTTTCCCACGCGCTGTGTTCCCTACGCGTTGAATTTCCCACGCATTGTGTTCTCTACGCGTTGAGTTTCCCACGCGTTGTGTTCTCTGCGCGTTGTGTTTTCTACGCGTTGAGTTTTCCACGCGTTGTGCTCCCTGCGCGTTGTGTTCTCTACGTGTTGTTTTCTCTGCGAGTTGTATTCCCAATGCGTTGTGTTCTTTACGCGTTGAGTTCCCTGCGCGTTGTGTTCCTTACGCGTTGAGTTCCCTACATCTTATGTTCTTTACGCGTTGAGTTCCCTACGCATTGTGTTCTCTACGAGTTGTGTTCCCAATGTACTGTGTTATCAAACCATTGTATTTTCAACGCAAATGTGTTTCACTCTCAATGTGTTGTACTATTAAAAATTTCTATTTTCAATGCAATATAGTATTAAAACATTACAATTTCGTCGCTTTCTATCTTGACTTATCATATCACCATAAGTGACACATCCTCACCATCGTAAAATACTGAAAACTGTCTACATTATCGCAATATTTGACAAGTCTAATATATTCTCAACTCTCAAAATTATCACATTATTCACATCTGTACCTATAAAAGTATAATAATCGTCTATTATATTAATAAGAATGACCTCCAAAACCTCTCATTTAACTGCAAAAATACGAAAAATATTCTACACACAATTTCAATTAAATTTTCTAGTCAACATCATCAAAACGTATCAAATAATTTTCAATAATTTCAAATAGTTTAAAAACGTGCAGTAAACTATTTAATTTTACATGAGGTGTCACTTATCCTAAATACTAAGAGTATAAAGGAATTTAAGCCGTGAAAGAATGCGAACGACGAGATCGATGAAGCTTACCAGCTACGGAGTCAAAGATGTAATAAATTGTCCAGGCGATGATTAAGTTGTAATAAAGCATCACCACCGAGCTGACTAACACCATTCCATATCCCAGGCCACGCAAGAGAGGGCAGAAACGTTTGTAAGCTGCCACTGGGCCAAGGCTCGCGTACTGCCCTGGGGAGAATATTGCAAAAGTGAAAGAAAAAAGGTGAAACGGATCAATAAGCCATCGTGGCAAGTTCCCGATGCACTCGTAATTTACACCAATGCATCGAATCGTGACTGAAGCAGATATCGTGAACGGTTCACCGATCTTCGAAAAGTAATTTATTAAATTAAAGGATTCTGTCGTCGTACAGAAACGTTGTTGAAGACGTTCATTGTTTGAAAAATGATAAAATGGGACAGGTAATGGGAAGTGTTATTTTATTTACCTTTTGTGTTATTTGTTTTATGGAGAAACTATGGGGTTTGTATTGCAATATCGAAAATTTTTTAAATTTGAATTTTGCAATTTTCAAAATTGAGACTTGGAGATTTTCGAGGTGTAGATATTAAAATTCGGATGTTTCAAGGTGTTTAATATTTTGAAGTTGTAGAATCTTAGGAATTTTGTGAATTCTCGAATTTAGCAGTTTTTATTTTTGCAAAATCACTTTAGAAAATTTGGAATTTAAAACATCCAATTTCAAAATTATAGAATTTGTAAATTGGATTCAGTATTGAACATCAGAATTGCAGAAATTTTTGCCAATTTTTAGAAGTCGCAAATTTTTTTAAATCTTCTAGGCAGTCAATCGACGCTTCTATACAGTGAATCCTGTTTGCGGCAATATAACAAGAGGTATACGAATTAACAAGACCTCGCCAGGTCATTGTGGCGTACTCCAAGTAAAGCAGAACCAACGAGTAATAGCATTACGTAAGTCGGTGTAAAGAGGAACGATCGTTCATTGATCGGTCTATTTCGGTGAATTAACAAGCGTGCATAAACCTGACCTTGGCGTGGTGTAACGATAAGAACACCGTTTACATTCCTACGTCTATTTCCGTACGATTTAAAGCCATGTCAGCTTTTGTTCTTCGCTATCGTAGTAATCGAGTTCCGGTGTTTCTATTCCTAGACTACATCGTTCTGGACATCGATAATGAGTGGCGATAACGATGACGTGAATGAAATTGCTAAAAGAGCGGGAACGGATATTGTGCAGTATGTTTTTGGTATATTGCCGAGGTGATGCTTTGCTTCGATGAATCTTGACACGTTTTTGCACGTGATCGAGGAATTTGGAAAGTTAGGAAATTTGAAATTGAAAAATAGCATCATTGGAGAAATTAATTTGGATAATTGTAAAATTGAAGAGAATTGGATGTATTTGGAAGTTGAGAAAATGAGAAATAGAGATATATTATATTTGGAATTTGGAGTTATGATTTCGAATTTTGGGGAATTGAAGAATTAGGAAACTTGGGTATTGGAGAGTGTGAAGTTGAAAGATTTGTAATTATAAAATTTGATCATGTGGAAAGTTCATAAATTAGAGAAATTAGGGAAGGTTTAAATTTATAAAATTGGGAATTTGGGATTATAAAACTTGGGATGGGAAAAATTAAGAATTGGGGAAATTGGGAATTAGGAAAATGAGGAATTGGGGAAATTGGAATTGGGGAAATTGGGAATTGGGGAAATTGGGAATTGGGGAAATTGGGAATTGGGGAAATTGGGAATTGGGAAAAATGGAAATTGGAAGATTGGAAATTGGGAAAATATGGAATTGGGGAAATTGGAAACTGGGGAAAGTGGGAATTGGGGAAATTGGGAATTGGGAAAATTGGGAATTGGAAGCTTCAGATTTGGGGAAATTAGTAATTGGGAAAAATGGAAATTGGGAAAATATGGAATTGGGGAAATTGAAAACTGGGGAAAGTAGGAATTAGGAGAATTGGAAATTGGGGAAATATGGAATTGGGGAAATTGGAAACTGGGAAAACTGGGAATTAGGAAAATTGGGAATTGGAGAAATTGGGAAATAGGAAAATGGGAAATAGGAAAATGGGAAATAGGAAAATGGGAAATAGGAAATTGGGAAATAGGAAATAGAGAACTTTTTTATAAATCTATGTTCTTACCTAAGGATAGTTCCATGAACATTAAGGGCAGTCCCGCAATAATGAGCATCACCGTGAACGGTATTAGAAAAGCACCGCCTCCGTTCGAGTAGCATAGGTACGGGAATCGCCAGACATTGCCGAGGCCGACACTGTATCCCAGAAGAGACAACAGGAAGTCGAATTTTCCCGTCCATGTGCCACGTTCCGGATGTTCGTCCTCGCAAGCTTGCAACGGTGCTTGGCTGTTCGCCACCGAGTACTTGTCTTCGTTCTGCTAAAGAAAGTAAACACACAAACTTCTTTATTCTCTTTGTATTCTTCTGTTCCTTCTCTCTTTATTTCACACTTTCACTGCCTCGACAAAAATAAATAGCCCATTGACCTTTACATAAATTCTTCAGCTAAAAATTTTCCTGAGATAAAAAGTCTAAATACTTTCTCTTAATTATAGAACTCCACAAAAATTATTAAACTTATAAGACTAATTTATAATTCAATTATTATGATTGTTATAGTATTTAAAAATAGATAATTGTTATGGGTTGAAGTATTTTTATTAACTCTGAAAGAAGAAGTAATTGTACGTACAAGAATATTATGAGTTAGGGACATGAATTTAGGTTATGTTCGAATAAAATTAATTTACATTAATGTGCTTATAGGAAGTTAAATTAATTGTTAATAGTATTAAGAATATAATAGATGTAATAAAATACCCTTGTAGAGAGTTAGAATAATTATTAAAAATCTTAAAAATATTACATAATCAATGTAATAAAATATAGTTTATACTATAACATTATTAAGTACAAACTCTCATTTTGTGTTTCTAACATATTAACATGTTAAATATCACATGTTGTGTTAATCTTCTGTTCTCATATTTTTATCATAAAACTATTTGTGAAGTAACTAGTTAAAATATAGTTTGAGGCATAGTTCAAGTGCCGTTTAGATGAAAGAAAAGCGTTCCAAGGTGGCCTGATTTTGGTAGCAGCGGTTTCCCAATGGTGATGCGATATAAAGGAACTCCTGGAAGCGCACTGCCGAGTTGGCAAAGTTTTCCGTGTGAACGGTGAATGCTAAAGGACCACTGGGAAATCACTGCTAACAAATTGCTTCGACAATTCAATCTATCGTGCACCCTCTAATATTCGCGCGATTATTAATCGTTCTTGACCGACACAGGCAACAGCTGCGGATACGTGAGACACGCGTGTCAAGTGCAACGTGAACCGGATAATTTACGTTTTATTATGCATTGCGATACGTGTGTAATTGCGTGAAAGCGTGAATTTATCGGGAAATCGATATTTAACCCTTAGGCTGTGCTAGACGTGCACATCTTAACGACGATTAACAATTTACACTTCCTTCGGGAAACTACGAATTTAGTCTCGACGGCCATTTTGTTGACTTCCGTGCTACTTGTAGTTCACAAGATGGCCTCTTTTTGAGGTTATACCATCTTTGAATTAATACATGAACGTAAAAGACGGGAATAAATTATAATTGAATTAATATTAATACATTAATCTTAACGTATAAGTGAATTATTATTAATACTTTAATCTTAACGTAATGGAATTAATATTATAGTAAAGACATTCAATTAAAGTTGCAATTTGTTATTTCAGAACAGGAACAAGTATAAAACTTTTCAAACCCTAATTTTGTAATAACCTAACAATTATTCCACCCTCTTATCATTTAAAAAATATTCTATAATTGACATTAGCCTTCACAAAAGTTATTTCTAATTCCCTCGAAAAGTTTTCTAAAATCGATTCGTATTTCTGTGATTTGCATTCCATGAAATGGCAATAACATTCCATAAAAAATAATTTATTTCGATATATTTCATCGTGAACATTGACGGAATCGAGAGAAACGTATTTAATTCGTTGGACGGAAAAATAATTCTCGTAAATCAGGAATGTTGTAATAAAGGAGGCCATTGATGGAACGTAATAAATCAGAAATTCGTGACGCAAATTAAACGACACGATATTGAAAACGATGCGATATTCACTCGTCTCTATATAAAATCTCTTTCATGTCTATTTCTGTTTTTCTTTACTAGTGCGACCATCGATCGCGCTAAATCTGTTCGACGATCGAAGAAACATCGAAAGCTGCTTCTATAAATTACTAATACGCCAATCAGCGGTGATTATGCTGTTAATTATTCGGGACTGCGTACCTTGCCTTTAAATTCCATTTAACAGGATCTCTTGGACATTCTTTTCTTATGTGTCTGCATAAATCATTCGACGAATTAGAAACTCCTTGTTTTAATCTTCAATTTCAATAAAAATTTTACTTTCTATTTATACTTTGAATTAACTGAGATAATGCAAGTTATGTAAATAATCTTCGTAAAGAGATATAAAAAATGTACAAAATGTTTAAGCAGTGTTGTAGCAGAGTATACATAAGTAAAGCTCGTTAAATTTTATGATAACGCAGGAAAGGTACTCCGCGGAAACTCATTAATTAACTTCGAGGAATTTCTGTGATTAAAACTAAAAGTAGTTCATCATATTGTTGCGAATAATTCTTTCAAACTTTATGAAATTACGGAACGAAATGACAGGATCAACTTATTTAACGAATTTCTGAAACATTCGGTGTTTCAAACCGATGATAAGGCGGAACCAATTGCAGATGAAATGTGTCGTCATTAAGGTTGATCTTCAGTCAAGTACTTTCATCAAAAATGGAGTCTGAAGTGTCGGTTTGAATTATTAAGGAAAATTCCTCCAATCAGAGCGCGAGGATTATTACGCGTTGGACTGCTACGCGTTGAATATCCACGCGTTGGATTACTACGCGTTGGATATCCACATACTGGATTACTACGCGTTAGATTCCTACGCTTAGAATTACCACGCGTTGCATTACTACACGTTGGACTACTACGCGTCGAATATTCACGCGTTGGATTACTACGCGTTGGATATCCACATACTGGATTACTACGCGTTAGATTCCTACGCTTAGAATTACCACGCGTTGCATTACTACACGTTGGACTACTACGCGTCGAATATTCACGCGTTGGATTACTACGCGTTGGATATCCACATACTGGATTACTACGCGTTAGATTCCTACGCTTAGAATTACCACGCGTTGCATTACTACACGTTGGACTACTACGCGTCGAATATTCACGCGTTGGATTACTACGCGTTGGATATCCACATGCTGGATTACTACGCATTAGATTACCACGCATTAGATTCCTACGCTTAGAATTACCGCGCGTTGCATTACTACGCGTTGGACTACTACGCGTCGAATATTCACGCGTTGGATTACTACGCGTTGGATATCCACATGCTGGATTACTACGCATTAGATTACCACGCATTAGATTCCTACGCTTAGAATTACCGCGCGTTGCATTACTACGCGTTCGACTACTACGCGTAGAATATGCACGCGCTAGATTACTACGCGTTGGATATCCACACGCTGTATCAGTACGCGTTGGATTACTACGCATTGGATTACTACGCGTACGATTACCACGCGTTGGATTACCACGCGTTGGATAACTTCGCGTTATCCGAAGCTATCGCTCTCGCGTCTGCGCATCCGTAATCCTGGCGCTCTGATTGGTCCGTGTTTTTTCTTAATAATTCAAAAACGAAGCTTCAGACCCCATTTTTGCAAAGGGAAATTTTCTTCAGAATCACGTCAGCTACCCCCCATTTCTGGGACCTACACTAATTATATAAGTAGGTATATATTAATTGAGACACCCTGTATACGTATACATATCCTCCACATATTAATAAAAAATAACCACTGATCAAAATAACGAAAACCTACATCCGAATTAAAAGTCAGAATTCTGTCTCCTAACATTCAATTTTCACAGCGTCACTGAACACATTAAATTAAGATCCTCCTCTCAATTCGTTAATTAATCTCATTTATCCTCAAGCCATTGTCAGCAGCTAAGAATTAATTCGCGAAGGAGATTCAAAAAGATCCACTGCCTATTCAACCGACGTTTGTTTGTCCGTTTGGTTGAATTGACATTCTCATTAAGGTCGAGTTTAAAAGTTTCTCCCGGCGATTCGTTAAGCGTTCGCCTTGATACTCGAAAGCGTTTGCTTTTCGCGGATCGATTAAAGCCCGAGGAGCCCATTCAAGGAAATTTCATTTTCGAGATGGATTCGGGCATCGAGGCACGCTTATTATCGATTTCTCTCCAAGTTGCGAGCTTTTAAGAATATCATCTTGATACTGTGTCGAACTCGAACGAAAATATTAAACGGGAGCTTCTTCACGAGTGTCTCGAGTGGCGCGGTTTCTGCTGCTTCGAAATGGGGCCTCCATGTGTACTTGAACTTTTCAATTTTCTTAAGTTATACTTGGGTTTGGTAGTTTTGAAGTGACGTTTGGAAATTTAGAAATTTATATATAATTAAATTTTGTGATTTGAAAAGTTAGAAACACATTATTAATTTAGAAACATATTGTTAATTTAGAAATTTATATATGCCTAATTTTTATGATTTGATAAGTTATAAACTTACACATTATTAATTTACAAAATTGTACATTGTTAATTTGAAATTTAAGTATATGAAAATTTTTTGATTTGGGAATTGAGAAAACACGTTCTTAAATTTTTTGATTCAGAAACTTGCAAGTATCAATACACAACTACTAAATTTTTAAGTTCAGAGATCTAAAAATTGTCAAATTTGCAAGTTTGTTAAATTACAAGTTCTCACATTTAAAACTTTAGCTTCTGAATTTATAAATTCTCCCTAAAAAAAATTGTCTTTCAAAAAGTAGAATTTTCAGAATAAATTTTTATATACGAAGAATCAACTATACAACTTGGTGTATGAATCAATAAATTTGCTTCGATAAAAACAGAGTAAAAAAGTGAGAAAAGTGAAAATGAAACCTGGAGGTTGATGGGCAATTCAACGATTAGCTTGCGACCGGCTGTAAAACGATGCAATTTTAAAAGGAACACAATGAACAGCAAGCGAACAATAGTGTTCGCAAGTGGAGATTGTATAAGTGTTGCGTAGAACGAGGGGGTTGGATGAAAGTGGTTGGTATCCTTCAGAATGATCGTTCTTTTGCATTGTGCTCGGCCACAATTTCCATAATTCGCGTTTAAATCGGAAGAAGCCTCGACAATTGCATTCTTCATCCAGCTACGAGTTTCCGCTTTTTCCGCAGATCTCAAACAACGTTGTTCACTCTGCTCGAGAAAATTTTGTACGATAAACCGACACTTCGCTCATTATCTCTGCTTTGCAAATTGCTTTCGACAACTTATTACAAGAATTGTACAAACTATTAAAAAATTCGGAATCAAAAAATTTTGCTCAAGATTCTTTAATTTGACATTTTAATTTTATCCGTTTAACGCAATAATATTACTTCGATAATTAGCAAACAATCAAATAAAATTTCAGTTTCAATTTGTCGACAGGTGCGATCATCTAATTAAATTTTAATTTAAACAATCAATTTATCAAACGTCTAATATTATTTTAATTTTGATTGATTTGTATATTCTCGAATGTCTGATATTATTTTAGTACTAATTGCTCAATAAACGCTCAAATCTAATATTTTAATTTCAGTTGATTGATTCGTAATGTTCGATCTAATTTGATTTTAATTTCGGTCGATATGTAAGCGCTCGAATATTCAGCGATTCGTCACATTCGCGATTGAATTTTATTCAAAGAAGATGCATGTTCAAAACCATGTTCATTTCAGAACCATAATTATTTTATAAATGTTCTTTGATCTAAAAATCTGAGATGTCACGCGACCAGAAAATTCAGATTAGTGAGACGAAGTATTTGGGCAAGGGTGTTGGTGTCGACAGAATAATAATGTAATGGGAGTTTAATTCCGCTATCGACCGACCCGTAAACGTTTCCAACGACCGTTTAAAGTGATTATGCAACAGTTTCACTTACGTCCCAGCATTCCAGATAGGAACGAATCCTTGGCGAGGACTCCTCCATCCTCCAAACTGGCACCGAACGCGTCTACGAAGTCAGTCGAGTCTTCTCCTCTTCATACTCTGCGAATATCCGACAACTGCTGCTGGCGCGTTTGTTCTGAATCCATTACTGTCCATCGTTAATGCAAATCTTCGTTCACACTGTAAGTCTCGCCAATTTCCATTTCCACGATTTTCTTCGATATCCTATCTTTCACGTTCATTCTTCAGAGCGTCATTCGCCTGTCCCTTCAAACAAAACATGACATTCACTTCACATTCCTTTAAACAATAAAAATTCTTTATTAACACGTTATTTATTACATTTACTGTACTGTTACTATCAATTCCATAACATACTAATTAATATTTTTATCCATAATCACTTGACTTAACATGTGAAATATCACAGATCTGCCAGTCTAACAAAATGGACGTCAGAGAGAATTGCATGTGGTTTAAAATTATTATTATTTATGTAAATCCTCGAACCAGAGTTTTAACCTAGTAGCTGGCTCGGTACCCATAGCTCTGTATGCATAATCAAAAAATTCCTATTATGTCTATACGATTATACTGCGTTTACGTTTTATAATTTTATTAAATCACTGATGTCTGGTAATGCAGTTAATGTTCTTACTTTTACAACAGATTCTATAGAATGAATAATAGATCTTAAGAATATTATTCAGTTTAGTAATTATAGTTTAGTAATTTTCTCTCTGTAGCGTCTTATCATCTGTCCAGCGAATTATAAACTGAAGTGTCATACGCAATAAAAATTCCAACAATTACGACGCTTACGAAATGGTCACCTCGGTATACAATAACTATTCACGTCCTAATTGCTGTTATCAAGTTCACACCAGATACATGGCCATGCAATAACGTAGTTACTCCTTCCAATGCTAGCCGCTTTGTAGCTGACAGTCCAGGTCACGCCGTATTTCTACCCCACCCACTATTTCCGTCATTCCCTTTTCTCGCTGTTAATCGCGGAACTCCACCAACGATAACTTCAATTTCCTAGAAATATTGTGTATAAGATGACTATTATTCCTTGATAAATGGCGGAAGTGTCAATTAAACGGGGAATGTATTCACGTGTGCAAATAATGGATCACTTTGAACCCCTTTGCATTTTTGAATTTTTCAGGTTTAGAACTTTAGAATTCAAGTTTATAAAATCTGAAATTTCTAAAACGGTTAAATTTTTAAAATGTAGGGAACGTAGATGAGTAAAGCAAAAAGACAAAAATAAAAAATGATGGTAAATTAATTTTTTCTCATGAATTGAATTGTAAAGTAAAATTTTTATATTTCTGACTGATAATTTATACACGTATGTATTTAAAAAATATCCATGTGATGAATAATAAATTTGTTTTTTAGACGTCCCTGACACGCAGCAACCCCTGTTAACCTATTCATTCTGAGAACAATATATTTAATCTGGATCCCCTAATACCAGCATCCCAATCTGCGTGGAAACTCAATATTTTATCATTTAACAGTTGTGGTATACAAAAGGAAGGACAGTCCTTAATCGAAAACAACGCGTCCTTCGAAGCGACTTGGAACATTCCACTGGCGAGTCACGACGGAAAAATCTGTTGTACGCAGAATATTCCGCGAGAGGGTGGAACAATGAGGCGGATCGTATTGCGAGATCGATGTCGAACAAAGTACTCGGGGTGGAAAAGAACAACCTGGTTAATCGAAAATCTGGATAAAGATCTAGCACGCGTAGTTGCGAAAAATTGAACAAAAAAGAGGTCGGATAAATCGAACACCATAGCCAACGAGTAAATCGACGCACAAGGGAGGGTCCACCGTCAGCTGGTGACCTTGTCCATGACAGACTCATTTTTTAACTTTTGCGTAGCACCCTCGCATTTTGTCCTCCCTTAATCTTTGGCGATCATACGATTTTAATCGACCGAATCGTTACGCGCAATTTCACCCCCTAATCGTTTAAATTTAATAATATTCTGTTTCTCATTTTCAATTTCAATTTCAATTTTTACTTAAAAGGTGTGGTCACCATTTTAGTTTCTAGAATATTGCAAAAATAAAAGTACATTTCGGTTGATTCGAGTTTGGAAAGTATTTACAGATGCTGATGCGGAAAATATAGGCCACATTTTCACAAAAACTTTATAGGACATTTTACAGCTTTATTACTTCGCAGAAAATTTTACGATTTTTCACCTTTATAGCGGATGAAAATGTTTTCTTTTACGGTCTTCTGTGTTGCTTTATTCTTCCGTACTCGTGTACCCCATCTTCAACCTAACCTAACTTCGACATGTTTCTATAATGCACACATGCTTCCATTTTGTTATGAATATCGTACCAATTAATACTGATGAACTTACTTAATTTCTATGACCTTTTAAACAAACAAATTTTCGATATTTTACGTTCTATATTTATCCCATAATTTAATTGACTGTGTAGCTGTTTTTAAATATAGCTCGTAAACAACCCTCTTCTCAACCTTAAATTTCGATAAATATATTTCACAAATATACTGTATAAATATACTTGATAAATATACTTGATAAACATCGTTAAAATAGCCAGCTTATAGTAAAATATGCAGACAATATAATTTAATAAATCAATATAAGTTACGTTAAAAAATGAACAATCAAACCACCCTTAATATCTAATATTTTTGTCATAATTTTCGTATATGATTAATATTAGAGTACATGCATTTTATAGAGGCTATGGTTTAAATATAATACAGGGTCGATAAAGCATGACTTTGTGAATTTTTGTCTATCCACGGCCATAACGTGCGACGTAGCTATAGTAACGTTTAAATGTCAGCCCCAATGACCAGGGTGGAGGTTCACTGTTCGCTATACCATGAACTCAACACCTCCTTACGTAAACCCGAACACGATAGTGCATTCCGCTTTCGTGAAATCTGTGTCAGTGTAACCCGATTCAAGCGGCACGCAAGACTCTCAATAATCGCCACGCGAAACGAGGTAACGATATCAGCCGACATTTACCCGAATCCAAACAAATTCGTACGAAATAGGACAAGAGAAACGAAATGGCGCAAGATCGTCTTGTGTGAGCACGAAGAAGTTCGGAAAGATATGGGTTAATATTCCAATTGACACGTTTCTCAATTTTTTATCTCTTTCTGCTCCAACTGTCAATTTTGATATTTGTATTTGGGAATTTGATTATTTTGGAACTGATAAATTTGCAGATTTTTAAATTGTTGGAATTTTACGTGTAGAATTTGGTGAGATTATAAATTTGACAATTTGGAAGTGTTTATATTTGTAAATTTGATAATTTTGAAAATGGCAAAGTTCAATGTCTGGAAATTTTCTGATTTCCATATAATGATAGATACTGGGATTGCAAATTAAAATATTTGAAAGTATTTAAACTTATAAATTTAAAAATTAAAAAATTACAAAATTTTTAAGTTTGAAAGTTGCCAAATTTCTAAGTTTGCAAATTGCCAAATTCCTAAGTTCATATGTTCGTCAATTTGAAAATTTGTAAATCGAAAAATCTATCGTCCTAAAAATTTCTAAATTTAAAAATTTTGTTTTAAAATTTACCAAGAACCAACGAATGGTGTGACTTCTTTCGCCACAGCGCCATTTTCCCTAGGGAGCCCTAACGTGCTCATCAGTATAAAGCTTACATAAAATTTCGGTGACATGACTTCATTGTTACCACAATAAAAATGCTATAAACACTAAAATAACTTTTATTTATAAGTTGAAAACATTCTAACACGTAAACCGTCATTGATGTTAACACTTCGAGTGCCTCTAAAAATGATAAAATTATGGGGAATCCTTGGAGATAGTAATTTTATTTTCAATTTTTGTGATAAACATGTTTTTATGAGATAATCTTTCATATAATTAACGAGGCTATTTATAACTTATATCATGGAATAGTTTTTGTAAAAATAAGTAACAGGTATGAAAATTCATGTGTGACGCAGATATGGGTGATATGATCACTCGAAGTAACCCGACAAAGATTTTAATGAAAAATCCTATATTAGTTAACTAAAGAAATATCTGATATCCCATGATCACATAGTATCCTATCACATAGTTGAATGCATACAGCCTTGATATTATTAATACACAAACTTTCTAAATAACCCATTATCTTCAGGTATGATATATTTTCTTTGTATCACTTAATTTTACTTATTCTAAATCTAGTAACCATAAACCAAAAGAATTAATATCCACATTAGTAACTAATTGAATTGAATTTAACAACGGATATGTGGTCCCTATTCAAATCTAATTGAAAAAGAAACTAAACATCCACATATGTGACCATTTGTTCAAATTCAATGAGCAACTAAACCTTCACAAATTTGGTCCCCGGTTTTCTGATTTGAATTGAACATCTAAGCATCCCCATATATGGCCATTTCATCCGAGTATAAAGAAAAACTAAACCTACATGGCTATGTAAAATGGACTTTAAAACAGAACCAAACATGCACATATAAGTGTCCTTGAAGAGGTTAAAAAAGATGGACCAACGTATCCACACTCCCGCCATCGTTCATCTTCCCATGGTCCGCTGAAAATCACGAGACTCCGAGTGTGGATCGTTACGTAACTACAGGATCATGTCGTTCACCGAGATCCAAATTCGACCGTGTATAGAAAATGATCCCGCACGCACCTGATTATCGCCGATGACGCAACGTTCTCCGTCGACGTCCGCCGGAATTCCGCTTGGCCGTCGCTCGATCAGCTGTGGCTAGCAAGCCATTGGTGGTCGCGCTGCCATTGGAGAACTTGGTGAACCGTGCGCCAAGGTCAGAGACACGCACTGCCACTGGCTTTCAAGGTCACAGCTACGAAACGACCGCGTTGTTCGCGTAGGTCGTTTGTCCGGCACTGGAGCACAACGATGTTACCGGGTTTTGCTCGTCTCGCACGGCGGTCCACCGGGTGCCTTATATCGAGACCGCGACAGATTTGAAGTGACACTAAAAGAAGCGAAGAGATCAAGAGACAGACGCGACGAGACGAGACGAGACGAGACGAAACAAGACGAGGTGAGACGGACGGACGGACAGACAGTGGAAACGGTCCGTGCCCGGGCAGCCAGCCAGCCAGCCAGCCTGCCTGCTTATGGGAGAGCTTTTCTACTTGCAGCACCCCCAGTCGACCCTGTCGAGCCTCGAACTCGACGGATCGATCGATATTACTGCTCCTGCGAGCTGCGTCCTACCCTAAACCTTGCACTCTCTCTCCTCGACCACTTCACCGTCTACCTCTGACGGCCACCTTTACCCTGTATGCCAAGACTTCCGAGCGAAACTCTTTTTACTTTCGTATGCGATCGAACGTCTCTGTTCTTTTTTTATTTCTGTTTAAAAAAGAACGCGTTAACGAGTCACATGCTGGCGTACTTGCGTCATAACACCTTATGACTCTCGTGTGAATATTAAATTCTTATAATAGGTACTTTTAAGTGCCAGGTACTTTAATATTGATCACGAGTCCATTGCTCTGTTATGATTTATAGCAATTAGTTCGGAGGAATACAAACTTTGTCTCGATTGAAATTAATACGGAATGAACTCTTACTTCCGCGTTGATTTTTATGAAGTATTAAACGTTATCTTATCGCCACGCGTTGTATGAGATGGGAATCGTCATGCGTTGTATTGACGCGTTGTGTTATCGACTCGTTCTACTCTCGACGCATTATATTCTTGACGCGTTGTATTCCCGATGCGTAGTATTCACTACGTGCTGTTTTATACACACGTATTACCTATACGTTGTACTATCAATGCGCTGCGTTATACATTACATACCCCACGTGTTGTATTATCAACTGGTATTATTGAGGCATTGTATTATCAACACCTTGTATTCCTACGCTTTAAATTCTACGCACGTTGTATTCTACATGCGTTGTATGTCGCATTATATTCTCCACATGTTGTACTACCAACTGGTATTATCAAGACGTATTATCAACGCCTTGTATTCACCACGCTTTAAATTCTGCGTGCGTTATATTCTACATGCATTGAATTCTACATGCGTTGTATGTCGCATAGTATTCTCCACGTATTGTATTAGTAATTAATTGTACTATTAACATATTGTATTGTCGACAACATATTGTATTCACCACACGTCGAATACTGCACGAATTGTATTTACTATACATACTTAGACGCGTTGTATTCTGCATGTGTTAAATTCTGCACGCGTTGTATTTACTACACGTTGTATTATCAACGCGTTGTATTGACAACGCATTGTATTCATCACGCGTTGAATTCTGCACGAATTGTATTCACCACGCATTGTATTCTAACATGTTATATTTCACATGTGTTAAATTCTGCAGGCGCTGTATCCTCCACATGCATTCATTACATTTACCATGCGTTGTATCGACTCATATTCACCACACGTTTCCCTCAACATTCTATTCTCCACGCGTTGTATCATCATAGGTTCTCCAACAACACGTCATATCTCCACGTGTTACATCAACGTGCGTATAAACTGAATATTCTCCAAGGACTCCAGCGAAAAAAGAACTGTACATCTTTACATAAACATAGAAATAAAATTGAAATTTTCTTTTGAGAATCGAAAAAACCATTGCTCCTTTATGTCAGCTATCACCGTGCGTATCTTCCTTTTCCCGATCCCGGTTCACGGCGTTTTCTTTTCATATTTTATGTCCGTGTCCAGCAAACCTATCCACCTGTTCATCGATCATGCTCCTCTGTTTCCTCCTCGTAATGGAAGCGTGACCGTTACCGAAATGGAGAAATTCTTCGCTGTGCATCGAAAGTAAAAATGACAGGGTACGATATTGAGATTAATACGAGTCGAACTTCGAACGTGCGCTCCGAATTTGCCACGGGAGTCGAGGTAAAAAATGATAGTTGCAAGATTCATCGATCCGAAACTGTTTAATTTCGCGAGGTGACAGTGACTGAGTATATTTAATGGAATTTGAAATAAGCGAAAACTAGGATCACGGAAATATCGATTACGAGTTCTTCAATAAACTTTCAACTCCGACGTGATCGTTTTTTAAACTTGCGGATGTTTATTGCGGAATGGATTTTAAGATATAGTGGCTTTTAGTTAAATTGTAACATAAAAGTGTCTATGATATATCAATTCGAAGGTTATGAAATATTCTCGTAGAATTCGGTGAAATAAATCGGTCAAAGTAAGACAGCCGATGCTTATTGATCCATGGGAGGTTTCGTACACGATTCAATGATCGATTCTCTGTCTGTATGGAAAATTATTCAGCCACTGTCGAATTACCGAAAGCAATTTACATGGCCTAGATAACACTGGCTGCTACTTGCTCAACTTGAATAGAAACAGTCACGCAAGTGTTAAATTGTGGAATGACAAGAGTCCACGTTCTTGCAGCGGCATTGTATCAGAATCGCATTGTTTCGAGTCGATGTCACCCGACGTGATATGTCAAAACACTGTAAGGTTCTTGTGTTCCTCGACGTCTGAGATAAACCTAACTGAATGGATGCAGGAAAATTTCACGAAATCAAACCGATGAACTCGGTAAATTAACCGTAATTATCGATATCCGCTGTTAATGTATCCATTAATATCACGGTATTAATATACCGCCGTTAATTTACGGTATTAATATGCTAATGACATGCTCTGCAACGTGTGTCAGTTTCCGACCAATACGTTAAAATCCCAGATAAAACAACAGTGTCTAGGAACGCGAAGAAACGGCTTTTCGGGTCAAATTATGCATTTCAGGTCACAGGATTCAAAGCGAGGTTTTATGAGACTTTTCTTTGACCGCGTATGTTCTTTTTCGATTTCTTCACGCGCTGTTGCTCACCTATAAACACCATTGTAGCTCCGTGCCTACGCATTTCGCCTGATATAAACTTCAGAACGACGATCAAACAGTGACAATCGATTTGCATCGGTTAATTATGAGGCCTTGCGCCATGTGTTAAAGAATATTGACGTTGCGACAAAAGATAGCGATTGTAAGAGTTCGCGAAAATGATTGGATACCTTTAAACGAACCAGCAGAGAATGAACGACCCAAAACGATTCTGGAGCAACAACACAGAGACGGAAGTCGATAACGTTGCAATCTATGGAGGCTAGATTTATGGAACACGATACTGTACAGATTCACCAACCCCTATAGCGACACCCACGAACCAGTACAACGCAATTTCAACCCCCTCAAACTTGTAGGAAGTAATAAGGACAGCCTAAAGCTCGTGGGATACGATTACGACCTATTTGAACTTATGGAGGTCAATGAGGACAGCCACAAAGATTTATAGGGGACTACGCTTCAAATATCGCATTATTGCTCGCAACTTTGTAGTATAACATTACAAATGTTGTTTCGACGCAATAATAACGGGCTGTAAGCGAATACGATCGATTTTCTATAACTTGCATTTTACCGATGGACAGCGCGACAAAGCACGCATAAGGAATTTGTCATTGTTTCTCGTTAGTATTGTATAATGTGATATCTTAACGAGAGTATTGGAAATCTCGTTTCAGAACACGGGGAGGGATATCTGATGATAATGCGATATGTCGATTTAGTTGAACGGTTTTGTTCATTGGATGATCCGCCATTTTTGCAAGGATGCTCGTACATTTGTATTAAAATTCAAGATTTAATTTTTTATATTGTAGATAGATTTTTAGGTATGAATTTTACTTTTCAATTATCTTTATTTAAATTATCACTGTTCTTCTATTAACACATTACTGAAAATTATTTATGAAAATATTACTATACCTTTGTCACGATTATTCATCATTCTTATTTATTAGAAAGTTATTTAAATTGTCTGAAGACTTATAGTACTAATATTAGAGGCATATAGCAGATTCATAATTATTATAACAAACTTTAAAAAATTTCTGATTAAATTAATATATTTTTCCATAATTGTAATTCTAAGTATCATACGTCGAACAGTTCCATTCATGGCAATAAAGAGTCATTTTCTACCACTATTCTTATAGTAAAAAACCCTCTCCAAAATATTCTAAATATCTGCTAACGAAAATTGACGAATTAATTCAGTAAAATATTTAATATACATCACGTTCATTCTGAACTCGTAAATTAATGACGATTACAAATTCGATCACGTAAATGGAGATTACGTGATAGTAAAGTGTTGTATCATCGAGATTATGACGTCAACACTTCCGTCACTGAATTCCCGGTAGGTGGACAGTAAATTCTTGCTGTGCCACGCACGATAACAGGAGTATCCTGTAAAATCCTTTCTGATGCATGGCCAGGGAATTTTATTATAGTCTGCGGCTGCTGCACTTGATTTCACCCACGGAAAACCATGACAATGATATATGCAAACTCGACTGCCGATAATCATCCGAAAATTGATGGTGACCATTAAACGCGAGCCGAATTAATCACACAATTTGAGGCCAGGACTTTTTCTTGGTACCGTTCCTGCTCTTTTATATTTCATCGTTTGTTTGCACTCTCTTTTGTTGAATTTCGTGGAAGAGGTTATTCTGCGAACATCCATAGATTTCATTATTGTTTTTCAGAAAGAGCACTTTTTTCAAATGACAGAACAATTAATTGCATTTTTTAAATTGTCGTTAATTTCAAAAACGATGTGATAATGTCATAGTACGAACATTTTAACAAATTTTTCCTTAATTTGCAAACAGTGCACGATTTTGCATAATTTAAAATTCGAAGAAGCAGAGCAGTGTGAAAACAACAGGGTAGTTTTTCTAAGGAAAAAGAAAGGTGATACACTTTCTGCGAAAGGAGCTACCTCATAAAAATCCTGGAAAAAATTCAAACACCTTCAACTTTCGTCTCCTACGACGTCCTTAATCCCGTCTCGACCTTCAGGAGTTCTCGCATCAAGTTCCCCTTAAAGTTGTCCGCTCGAGAAGAAGCTCACCTGCGGGCGACAAGGAGCTTCGTTACCGAAGCTCGGTCCACCGAATATATCGATCGACACGAAGTTTCGTGGCCATAGAAAGGGAACAGATTCGAGAAGGTCAAATCTGCCCTTTCGTGTTGACAAGAGGGCTGTTCTTTCTCCCTCGTGATCCCTTTTAAAGTGGAAAGAGAATGTAGCAATCCGAGCATAACCTTATTGATCGCGACTTCTTTTCGACCAATTTCGGTTTCCATTCTCGTTGTATTACTTTTGACTCCCTTACAATCGTTACGATTAAATTTGTATATACATCAATTAAAGTTTTTTTAATTCGATTAATTGTATTGATTGAATTATAGGTCTATTGATTTTTATAGTTTTTAGGTTTGCAGGAAATTGGTTATTTGCAAGCTTTCGTATTTTTAAATTGTATTGCAAGGTTTGAGATTGTA